TCAAGCCTTAAACTCGTGCAAGGCCTAATAAAAGCCCACTGGCGAACAAATTGCGATTCAAAGCGATTCCCTTTAGCAACCCAGCGAAATGCAAATGGAAGTTCAGCAATGGATGGGCAATCGGCATTTGCCGTGGAAAACGTTGCAGACTCCACCTCGAAAGAGTATTCCGGGCAAAAAGCGAACGGCATCGGCATCGAGCAAATTCAGAGGTCAGAGCAAGGCAAAAGCGACCAAAAGCATAACAAAACCGTCGTGAAACGAGACGAGACGACGACTTCAACCATGCGGACTACACTGCGATGAAATCCGACACCGTGTGGCGTCAATTGGAAGCCAATTCGATACATCAAAAAAAATTGTATGCTTCTGTCACCGCTGCGAAGTTGAATGCAAATTCGACGAATACTTTGCATACAATTTGTATACATTCTGCAGGAAGGAATCCTATCCATTAACTTCTGAAAATCAAATAATTTGTATACACCAACGAGAAAATATTACTATGTATAGGCTACTCGAGATTTGACATGTGAGCTAATATATTACTACAACAAGATGCTGTTAAATATTTTTGTCTTGTCTTTTACCCTATTTATAATACAGCGACGGAATACAACATAAACATTCGAACCTCAAAAGAAGCATTAAATACGTATAAGCTTAATAATCCTATAATACCTATTTTGAATTTTATTGCACCGGGAATAATGGAAAGAAACCAACCTAACTTTTATGATTCGAGCGAAATTCCTTCATGTAATTAAATTCATTTAATATTTTTCATATGGTTCGTAACGACGTACATACATATTTGACTCAAGATGAGACTTTGACGTAAAAACTATAAATTTCGCACTAAATTCCACAGGAAAAGCTGATTTATTTAGCATTTCGCATAATCACTTGACGTCATCGCTATCAACATTTTAATTGACCATTTACGATCTCACAAGTGCAAACTATTATTTGTAATCATAGATTTTCAGTAGATAAAAATTTTATTGGTACTGTACATTGATTAAATCGTATTACGTAATTGCGTTTTATTTTCACCAGCATGTAGTTTACGTGATGTACTGATTTTAGATATACAATCGACCTTCTTATTTTACTATTTTCCCTTGACGAACCACAACAAGATGATGTAATTAAAGATTAAAAGATTTATAGATTCATAGAGCTAAAATTTGTGAACGGGCATAATTTTGAAGCTTTGCATATATCAGTCGCCTACTTGAAATTGTTAGTATTTAGAGACTTCTTTGTGCGAAACACTTTCATTTCTTATCTAACGATAAGATATAGATAAATTGGCCTCAGTTTTGATAACTTTTCGAGCCGTGTACTTTTCGCTTTAAGTTTCACCAGCCACCACCTCCGGAGTTGCAATGCGGTGGAAGAGGCGAGGAGCTTTATGGCAGTAGCGGTGGCTATGGCAACAGAAAGAGCCAAACTGCCCGCACATGAGGTTCGCTCTTAGCCCCACTTATCCCCCAAAAACCCCTTTCTGGGCCCCATAGTACCCATTGTAATCGCCCCGCCCCGCCCTGCAGTCTCCCCTCTACAAAACGTATCTTTCAAGTGCGGGCTGCTGCTGCCGATGTTGCTGCTGCTGCTGCTGTTGCTGTTGCTGTTGCTGTTGCTGCTGCTGTTGCTGCTGGCTCATCAAAAAGCCAAAAGTTGTTGAACGTGAAATTATTGTACGCGAACACGAGCAAATACCAAGGCAGATGTGTGTGTTCGCAAGTATTTATGCACACAGAGCCCGTCGGGTTTTGCATGTGTTGCCTTGCCGCTCCAAGATAAACAGCTGAAAAGAAAAAGCTAAAGCTAGAGCCAAAGCTAAAGCCGAACTGGAAGCATCGGATAGATGCATCAGATTTCGCATTCAAGTGAAATTTATGGCAATAATAAAGCTTAACTCGCGTTCGAGGTAAAAAGATGATGAACTATGCAGAACCGAGTATAAAAGGAACTGGAAGTCGCCATTCGTCAGCGTTTCATACTTCATTTGCCGTTGCCAACTCACAATCAACCATTCAGCCAACAACCTCCCACTTTCCAGACCCCTTGACTTTATGCGGGAAAAAGTTACTTAGCTGCTATCACAGTTTAGTCATCTACACAAATATGCGATTACCGCACAAAGCGCAAGATACAGATACATAGAGTCAAATACTGCTACAGAAGCTATACAAGATATAAGCTCAAAAGAATGCGCGAAGGTGATCACAGTTAAATGAGTCTTCATGTAAGCACTTCTCTGAAGTAAATACTTTGACAGTCTTTGGTTTCTAAGCATTCTGGGCAGCGCGATTTGGTTATTCGATTTGTCACACAAATAAATCAACGGTTTGTGGGGAGAAAGTTATAATATTTCTCAGGTAAATGCAATGAAGTAAATATTTATTCTCAACTTTGGTACACTAGTTACTTAGGAGCTCAATTCAAAATGTCATATTTGGCAGTACTGATGCAGGGAAAGTTCTACCCAAAAATGAAAGTCTGGAGGTGAGAGTGTAAAAAAGAAAACAAGTGACAACAGGAAGCAGAGATTAAAAGATCCGACAAAATGCGACCCATATAAGATAAGATCTGTTTGGTGAAGCCAACGAGACGGTAATTAAAATTCCTCTAGATTCAAACAATATCTGAGCTGATTGTTGTCGGACCAACTTCTCGGAATATCCCATTCAGTTCGGTTGCCATTTTTGTACATACAAGTATGTACGAGTATGTATGTATTTTATATCCAATTTTCGGAATACTTGTTAGCTCGATTTTCCTTATATATTTCATTTTTTGTGGGTTCATTAATCCGGAATTGTTTGTGGCCCCTCTTAGCCAAATAGATGATGTTTATGGGGAACTCTCTTTGGAGCGTCAGCACTCTTTGCAGGTTACTGAACCTGCAATACTCGTACTCTGGTTCGGATGAAGCTCGTCCAAAGCAAACAAATTCCCAGAAATTTCTATGGTCGCAAGCATTCTGTTTTCACATGTACATACATATGCACATATATCGCAGTTGGATGTGTAATCAGCAGTGGACTATTAGACGCACTTACTCGGGAGATATTCACAAAAAATATACACGTATGTTCATATGTATGTGCATACATACGTGCAACAGGAATCTGGCATTTCGGTTTTATCGGCCAAGTGAAAAACAACGCCATAATTAAGGCGTTTTCCCCGAATTCTGTCTACCTGCTGTGAGTAATGCAAATTGTTCAACTGATAAGAATAAGCCGAAAGGCTCTCATTTGCACATTTGCTGCGACGAAAAGCTGCTGTTTGCACCCATTGGTGAAATTCGGTGAAAGGAAGTTCAGTTTCCCTAGAAATTAAACGGAGCTTCTGTGAATTGCGCACACAGCTCGTATCTTATAAATCTTCGGCCTCGTTTAAAAGAGACTGGATGGATACGTTTAGAATTTGATTGAATGGATATGAAAAGCAAATCATCGTCGGACATTCAATACCCATATAGCACTGAGAGAAAGTGCGGCGGTGTTGCTGTGTTAATTTGTACCGTTTACAGGTATATCATTTTAAAGAGCTTATAATAAATATTTTATTATTACCAGATATTTGCTAGTACGGTTTTGAAATGAAAGGATTTTTGTTTAAACCAAACCACTACTTTAATTGGGTTCCTTGTTTAAACTCTTAAATCTATTATTTAAGTCTACTGTAAGTGTTATGTGCAAGGACTATAAACGTATTATTATTTTTGCTCAGTGAGCACACGCAAAATTCGTTCGATTTGGACACGTAGGCGGACCTGGACAGGTCTTTTATGGTACCTGGGACAAGCCAGCAGTGACCGACCCCCATGTCCATTTCCCCCTAATCGACAATGCGGGGCTGTGTGCCTTTATCAGAGCCTTTTCAGTGGCGGCCCATTCAGCCAAAAAGCCAAAAAACACGCACAAACATTTTCAGTTGCCGGGGAAATGGTGATCCCGACCCTCGCTGATACCCCGCACATACCCATACGTCCCAAAAATGAGAGACTGGCACTTGGTCATTAAAACTACTCGCAGAGCCAAAAAAAAGGTTGCTATTTTTAGCAGTGACGAACCGGCAAACCAAAGCAAACCAAACCAAAACCAATCCGAAACCCCGAAAGAATGAGAGGCCATTTGGCTAAAGACTCTGGAGGCACCTTCTTATTAACGCTGCGAGTGTTTACTGCCTTTCTGCCCCGCTTTTATTCCCCTCCGAATGCAATTAAGTTAGAACTCGCATTTCATCGAATGTAAGAAATAACAAATGCAATCCGAAGCTTTTGTAGCAAAGGAAACAAATTTGCAAAATGGGAACACGATTTATAAGGGCGTTCCGAATGCTTGGCTTCTGACTTAATACGTACTCGTACTATTTTTTTGAGCTGACACACACACGAAGTATTTCACAGTCGATGAATTAGACCAATTTAATTGATCTTTAGTGACTATATTTGCATGCAAATACATATATATTATGACTTGATATTGGTAAATAAGAATAAGAAATAATATAGAATCACACTTAGCTATAGAAGGCACAACATATATATGTATCTGAAAACGACAGTGTACTCTTACGTTCCGTGTTTTTCTCTTTTCAGTCGATTTGCCGAGAAGATGCCAATTGATTTTGATTTTCGCAAATTATAACGAGACATTTATATGATTTGATAGCTGGCCAGAAATTCGCAAACAATTCCCCGCGACCAGGCAAGGTCATATCGATTGTCATCAGCTGCTGTCGACACCCCCACCCACCACCTACCACCAACCGCCCACCGACTGACACCACCCAACAACCCACTGAAAAGCGAATAGCGCAAATATGCCATACTTGAATACACCAAGGAGGTGCTTGCACCAGATGCTAATAATATATGTGCTAATATTTGTTTCCAGTGCAACGACACGTAAGTAAAGTCTCCCCTTTCGTGGGATTCCGTGTATATTTTATATATTCACCCAACCTTAACAAGGGAACAATTTAATTTATATTTTTGTATGGCCAGTGTCTGGGAGCTTGTTAGCTATTGGTTTAGGACTTTATCAAACTGTATCAGTATCATGAGGTATTCCAGTATCGCACCCACGATGCAAAAGAGTAACGCATTGTTCAGCTTAAACAATCCACAGGCGCTGACGGCAAATATGTGGTCCACATTCTTCAGATACAGGCCGTAGTAGTGCATCTGGGGAATAAGATACAGAAATTAATGTCTGGCAAAGATAAAAAGATGTCTTGCTGACTAGACAAGCTGTTTATCATATGCTACTCTTTTTCCTTTCTACCAACAATGAGCGGTGAAGATATTATATTATATATAATATTATATTATTAAAAAAGAATGAGTAATACATAACCCCTATGGACACTACGTCGGTAGTTCTCTTTGAAGATATCTTTTTAGCAGTATGCTTGTTTCGATCACATTCGGAATTATTTTAGTATTCCAATCACATTCGATAACTATTTTATGATGTGCGATTTACAATCAACACCTGCTGAATATAAATGGCACTTATTAAATAGAAAAAAAAAATTTATTTGCATATAATAATAGAATAGAATAAAGACAGTTTGTTGCAACAGGAGACAATTAAATTGAAGTAACTTAATGAATATAGTCCAACTTACAGTGTGCCTGAGTTGCTTAACAGTGATTCTGGATGGAAATGCCAATCCTCCGCCTTTGAGGATTTCCCTGGTACGGTTGAATCTTCTTTCTGAGTAGTACGTGGGTAAAATGACCAGCAAAAGATTGGTGAAGAGCCCCAACAAAAAGGCGACGGCAAAGTAGTTTAACGAAAACGATCTGCCATATTTTCGCAAAATAAACTTGCTGTACTTCATGAAGTATGTGAAGAACAGGTGAATCATGCACTCCAAGGGCACATATCCCAAAAAGCAGACGGCCTGAACTGCGCACAATGAGCCGATTTTCCGATGAAGCTTCAGCAATTGCTGATGCATATGAAGTAATCTCCACAATTCGAGGGCCAACCACTTTTGTTGGCCTTTGTACAGCTCCTGGCGGTTGAGCCGAATTCTGGTCCTCTGGGAACTTTCAAAAATATGCTCGGCATCTGCCAGAATTCTGGCCAGCAGCAGATTGGAGTGTCGCACGAGGTGACCCAGAAAAAGTAGCGCTAATGTGTACATCCCCAGGGAAAGCTGCAGGATGACCTGGCACACGATTATGAAAACCAAACAGCAGGCGTACATGAAGTTCCTTCGCACTTCCGGATCATCCTTGAGTATCTGAATGGGCTGAGCCAAGGCGAGCATATAGGAACTGAGTAGCAGCACCACTTCCAGCAGGTGTCCCCTGGTAGCCAGACAATCCATGGAATCCTTCAGTTCCCGAGTGTGCATCAGTTTTCTTAACTGCCTTCGACACTTCAGCAATCGATTGAGACACCCAATAATCTCCGCCTGCTTGGAGCAGTGTATCCACAAAGTCATGAAGGCGCAGACCAGAAGCAGGACATATCGATTAAAGCCAATCATTAGCAGAATTCGGTTTTGGCGCAGAAAGGCCATCCTTTCGAAAATACACCAGAAGGCGAAGGGTGAGAAACAGCCCACGAAGATCATCATCACCCAGCCGTGGACGCGAAGATAGAGGCTCTGTCTGACCCTCCTAATGCCTCGAGGACTCCAATTGGCGGTGGCCATTAGGCCGAACACCCTGGTCAGACTGTACAGTGTACCCAGGGCCGACATGCCCAGCAGTAGAAGCAAACGCGGCATCGCTGGACTCGAATGTGTCCGAGTTGGGGACGAAACTGCTAGTGCTAGTGGGTTACCCAAAGGCAATGGCGTAATCGAATCACAGCCACAGGCAGCACTCAAAGTGATGCACTTGGAAAAATTGTGTGCCCCTTTAGGGATGGGCTAAATCGAAGTTTGGCTGAAGTTTTTTGTTCGCTATGTATGCAAATTGCAACTTGCTCAAGGGTTTGCTTATTAAATGTATCACAGTAGCTTCTTGCAAACTCCCGCAAAATCATTAAGACTAATTATAAGAGAAAGTTCGATTTATAAACAATTTATTTGCGAGTGTGGTTACGCCAGCTATTAGCCTGATTGAATTTCGTTTAGCCAAGGCGTTCACTCAGCCAGATAATCTGTCCAGATAACACACTCAGTGAGCAGCCCAATAGTGCCACAACAAAAGGGTTTCGCCGATACACGGATGCATGGATGCATGGATGGATAGGTGGATGGATGGCTGATTGGCGAGCACGACAGGGGAAAATCACATTGGAATACTCGGATTGAAATTAGGCAAAAGCTGAGAGTTTATGGTCTGTGGCTCACTTTCCAGCGACGGATGGATGCAGAATGTACCTCACAGAAGCCTGCCTTCGGAATCACTCAATTTTCAAGTGGCTTCATGTGTTGGCAGCTTCCACCTACCGGTTCTCACCTGTAAATGGGGTTAAACTGGATTTGCAATCAGTGCCGAACGCAGATAAAGCTAACAATTTAAATTCCTGAAACAGTTGGCCCAGACTCTCTCTGTCGCTCTCTATCTCTTTCTCTTTCTCTGTCGACTGAAGATCTCGTATCTTCGCATTTGTATCTGTATCTGCAGGCCAGAAAGTCAGGACGCTGTCGCTGGATTATTAAAAAAGTTTTTCGCTTTTAAAGAGTTTTCCCCCCTTTTTTTTGCATTCATGCTACATAAAATGCAAAACACTCGAGTGTCTATATGTGAGAGTGTGTGAGTGTGCGAGTGTGTTTTTGTACTTCCATCCTTTATGAAAACTTTCCACGGCTGTTTATAAGTTTCTCACCGAAGAGCCAAAGTGGCAGCAATAGTGAGGGGGAAAATATATAGCGCTTTTGTCCTCCTGCTCGGATCTTGTACATGGCTGTAACCCTGGCTCCAGATTCTATAGCTTCTGGTTCTGGCTCTGTCGCCTGCTCCGACTTTATCTGAATAGGCAGCCAAGTGTGCGGCTTGGTTTTTATCTAGGTTAGGTGGCCGGCTAGTCTGACAGTTTGCTCCGCAGCTCGCTGCAAATTGCTGTGCCATGTCCTCGTCTGACGGCTAATTCATTCACATTTTTGGGTTCCCTACAACAGCGGAATAGGTATACCAGCAGCTCGAAAAATATGTATGTATATACGTATTTAGTAGTTTCACTGTTTACATACGACTTGTTTCGATTTCGTAGTTTCTCTTATAAACACAAGATTTTTTATGGTGACTACAAAGAGGAAAGAGTATTTATAAGAAGCTTATTTTATTAGGAAACAAAAGAATTTCTAGTTAGTCGAGGTAAAATCAGTTTTGCTTCGGGAAAATGGTGTGAAGCTTGAAGAACTTTGTTGAAAAATGAATAAACATTTTTTTTAAAATTAAGTAGAAAGTAGGTTACAAAAGTTAAACATGATAAGCTAACCATAATAAATACGGAAACAATTAAGAACGAGTCCAAAACAGAGCATAAGTCCTCCTCCTAATCCCGATTAGTCGCCTTTTTTTAACAAATCAAGTTGATCAGCATTTAAATAATTTCCATTCTCTGGACATGCCTCGTTTAAATCTAACCTCCCGCCGCCAAACTTCAAAGTCGAACGGCGGACCCGAGGGCGGCTGACAACTGTCCCAGCTGTCCCACTGATAACACGACAGCGTCAGCGAACAAATGCGAAAAACAACGAACAAGTAAAACTTTAATTAAATAAAGTGTAAGAAGTTTGTTGAGCTCCTTCAAAGCAGTCGCCGTCGACCCACCAATAATCCACCGACCCAACGAACAATCCCCAGCCCAAAAGCATTCTGCCCCCGACATCAAAGTGCAGGGCCCGGCCCGAAGAAAAACCAAAAAAGTTTAGTTTTTAATATTCGACAGGCTGCGGAGGTTCTTGTGCTTAAAATCAAGTAGATTTTTCCAGCCAGATATTTACTTTTGTCCCGACCAGAACTTGATTGTTTACCCGGAAAAAGGAAAAGCCGAGGACCAAAAAGTCAAAGGGCACGGAGCAGAAAGAGAAAGATGGAAAATTCCCATTATATGGACGAGTGAAAATGACAAATTAACTTGAACAATGAGCGAACACGTTTCGCAGAAAGGCGAAAACTCCAAAGAAAGGAACAAAATGAATAAAAAGGGGGCTTAGTCTCAGGTATAGAATACAAAATTAATGGAAGGCAAACAGCAGGCTTCACAATCAATGGCAAGTGGAAAAACTTTAATTGGTATAAGGTTACATTACTTCTATGCTCGGCAGCTACGGCCCAATGAATCACCTGGCTAGATAAGCAATGGACATTCGATCCGATAAGTCGACCTTAATGCATTCCGATTCCTATTTTATTCTTCTGTCGGCTTTGTAAAAAGGGGGGTTTATTAACAAAGCAAAGGTGTGGGTGAACTTGTGAAAAATAGTCTCCAAGGTGAGGGGATAACAAGTTCTTTGTATGAGGATTTGGTCTACAAATTGTACATTTTCTCTTTTGCCTTTTCTACAATCAATAATTAAATATATTTTTTTAACAAGGCTTAATTAAATTTCCTATTCCATGTAAGTTCACCCAGGCACAAATGTACACCTTTTCCCAAGGCTTACCTTTTTTGTACTTTTAAAATCAGCTTAGCAAGCAAGCATTTTTGTTATTTTCTAGTGGGTCAATTTAAGCACCGCACTCTGCCATAAACAAGGCAGCACTGCTTGAGGTGACCTCCATTACCCACCCACCCATTCCGCCCACTCCTACTTAAGTACACCTAAGCTGCAACTGAGACTTCATGTTTTATTGACCACCACTAACGGCTGCAATTTCTCCGCCCATAATTTCGTTACAGTTGACCAGGAGCCCTTGCCGGATTTGTGTGAGTCGGTTAAATGTCCGCCGGATGCCGAAATGCAGTGCCCGGCGGACAGTTCCATACGCCAGAACCTGCTTGCGGTGGACCTGATTAAGTCGAATGCGGTGGAGTTGCCCAGCGGAGGTGAAATTGCGTCAGCCGCCGACGCGGTATCCTACAATAGAGGTCTGATCTCCGATGAGGCTTACGCCCAGTGCTGTTTGAACCGGAAGTGCGTATGCAAGACCTGTTACATTCCGGACTGTCCTATGGACGCAGGCGAGGACGTGGTGGTGATCGAACTGGTGCCGGAAAACATGCAAACGCCCGGAGAATGTTGCGGCACCTACGAGTGCCAGGCGGAGCC